GTCAACGTTTTTAACCTTGGCACTAGAAGAAAGTAAGAAGCCAGCTTCAAGCTCGACAGCTCTTTCCGAGGAAACATTTCTTGGGTCCCATTGGATAGGAGGCTGGAAGGGTCTCAGAATCTGTCCGAACACTGTGAGTAAGAGAGAAATTTGTACATAACGGGAATCGAACCCCTTTTCCTCGATCATTCAAGCCAGTAGCCTAGACTAAATTGCGAGCCATAACATTGCATTTGGAATAGAGCAGGCATGTCAAACTCAACTTGTACAGAGGGCCACCTCAGCCCTATAAATAATAGTCCAGGGCTGCACTTCAAAATAGAAATATATATTAGATTTTGATACAAGGAAATTTAATTCTATTTATTATTTAGGAATAATTTCAACATAATTACCTAAAGTCACATATCTGACAGTTTTAAAAAGCAAGAGAATGCCATTTTTGACAAGTATCAAACAGCTTTTCAATATGTAAAAAATAGATTACACAATAAATTATGTTAGAAATAGCAAAACACTGAATTTCCTGTAGCCTGCTAATTTATGTCTGTGTGAGTCTTCTTGTCTTCTGGTCTGTTGGAAAATTGTCTTTACAAAAAATATTTCTACTAAAATTTTAATATTTATTTTATTATCAATTAGCTCTAAAAGTTGAGGGGCTGCATGTTTGACACGGCTGGGATAGAGGGTACCAGCGAGAAGGGAGCGATTTGGCACTGACATGTCCTTTTGCAATGTCAGCACGCTTAATGGTGAGTGTGAACAAAACTTAGTAAAAGATCCGGCCGTTTCGTCCTCAGTGGATAATTGATGGTAGCCTGGAGGTAAGGAAGTCTCCAGAGCTAATATTGGCACAGTGGTGAGAAAGGAAGAAATGTTCCAGGAATCAAACCCAGACGCGTCAGCCAGTAACTAATCACTTAACTGGTTGCGATATTCCGGTTTATTACGAAAGTCTTAACTGACCAGGAAGTGACCATGGGAGAAACATACGTGTATTGTGCCAGAGGAAGGTTCACTGCAAGGTCGACTGCGACATTTGGTGGCGTCACTTTTGTTCAGTACATGCAGTGAAACAGGATTCACTACCGAGGAGATTGCGTCAGGTAAGGATTTGTGTGGTCAATAATAAAGTCAGTATGCTCTACGAAGCACTGGACATCATGACTTGCTTAAGCAACCTTACGGAAAAAAGTCCTGTGTTGGTACGTTTGAATTTCCCACCGACGTCTGGATAGCGGTAATATGTTTGATATACAATCTAGCACATTGCTCACGATGACGTAACTATCAATGACGCAATCTCGTCCTAGCAGTAGACCGAGTATATAACAGATTGCATGCAATTGTGATAGGGCCTGTACATACAGGCCTACTCAGTGCCCTCTTCAGCCATTGGGCCAAATGGGCACAGAGACAAGCAGTTGAAGGGGAGAGGCAACTTATCAAGAGTAAAATGTCAACACAGCCCAAATGTTAAAAATGTCTTTGGGAAAAAAGGCACTGCTGTTATCTATTTGTTTTATTAGCTTTTTAACAGTAATTAATATTTGTGATATTAGAATCTTTGCCGGTGATGATTGCTCATTTTCCACCCTGAAGGCGGGAGTAGTGCGTGCTTTCGAAACACTGGAACCTATCCACCAAAATACCCAACATCTCATAACAGAAAACAACACTCTCCAAGTACAAAGTGAAGTTGTCCAACTAATGAAGCAATAAGTCATGAAGACGTATGGGGGAGTGGATATATAAGTCCACATTTTCTTGACCTCGACACTAGTTGGAGCTATGTAGTCAGCTTCACGTCCCGGCCGTGTTACCCTCGGGAAAGAGCCCGCAGTACCCATTCTATAGGAGGTTGGGTGGGCCCCAGAGCCGGTCTGAACGATATGAGGAATTGAAGATTCTTTAACCTGCCGGTACTCGAACTCCGACTTCTCGGTCGTCCAGACCGTAGCCAGTCACTATACTGACTGAGCTATCCCGGCTCTACACCCTCCAGGTCTTTTCTTAATTTACTGGGATGCAATTTTGTTGTAAATTATTACATTTACATCGTTGCTTTCCAGAGCTTCGTAAGGAAGCTAAATTGGTATAGTTTTTGCATAAAGTCTTAAAATTGTATACGGACAGGCTGTCTGAAGCGATATAAACTTCTGGCTTGTATCTGGGAGGTTCGAGGTTCCAGTTCCTGCCAGAGCACAAAATAACTTGGCTGAAGATTTAGTGGGTTTCCTCAGTTTGTACAAGAAAATTAATAAAAAAATGCCTTAAACAAGGCAATTACCGTGTTCTGTACATCTTTATAATCCATTACGCACCAATGATCATGCTATCTGAAGCTGTATCAATTGAAATACTGAAGATCTCTTAATTAAGCATAAATGAATAAATTTATGCCTATAATGTAATTATAATTAATGGCGATGAAATACAGTACAGTAGTCCTCTCGGACTGGCAGCAACAGCGATACGCTATTAACATCAGACGTTTCGGTGACCGTCTCTGTCTCCATCGTCATGGACTGATGAGTAGGAATAAAATAAAATAATAATAGGAGAAGTAAAATGGACATAAACCTGCCTTGCAGTTCATGTGAGTACCACATTGTATGGGAAACCACAGGTCTTCTTAACCTGTTTCTTGAGAAACTTTGTTGTGAAAACTGTCTTTATCTTTTAAGTGACGGAAAAAATCTCTGAAACGTCTTTTACTTCATATCACCGAGCTATTCGCAAGAGAAAGTTTATTGTGTTACAGGTTCGAAGCCTGAATGTGGTCTAAATAATTCGATATTTGGAATACACTTTCAATTTCTAAGAAAACAAAATGGCTTTTTGAAAGGTTTGGGGTCCTCAGACAGATGACTGTGAGGAGTATTGTCTTCCAGAATGTGACACCGTGTAGTTCGGTAGAAGTTCAGTGACGTTTCTCAGTAACGTCTATGGACTTCTACAGGACTACACGGCGTCACATCTGGTAAGAAAGTGGTCTTCATACTGCATTTCCGCTACAAAAACCGACCTCCTCAATCAGTTCAGAGGAATATTCGATATGAATCGATATGTATTGTCAGACAGCCTCTGTGGTCTAGTGGTCAGAGATCCTGGCTACAGATCGAGAGGTCCGGGTTTGATTCCTGGCGCTACCAGATTTTCTGAGCAGTAGTGGGTCTGGAACGGGGTTTACTGAGCTTCGTGGGGATAATTTAGGAGCTATTTCAAGGAAATAGCGGCTCCGGTCCAGAAAACTGAAATTAACGGCCGTGGGGATTCGTTGCGATGACCACGCGACACACTCTATCCGCTAAAGATGGCACTAACTTCGCCGACAAGCGGTGGTCGCTCGGTCGGTATAGTTCGCTTGCGGACTATAATCACGGAGTTTGTTTGTTAGAATCGCAGGACGTACGTACGTACGTACAGTCTGTGGGCACAATGCAGAGTTTCTCACTGTTAAATCAGGCGGTACATACAGTTACCAATTGCTTTAAAGGGTTAACTTCTTTCCCTGAAACTGCGACGAATCTTTGAGGAGAAAACAGAGAGGTAATCAAACCCATGCCCCCTGTCCAGGATTCCGCAACTTATCGCAGTGAACCAAAGGAACTTAGTACAGCTGACCTCATGATTAACTAGCACTAGACCGCAACGGACAAAGTCCATTTCTTCATGTATTGATGACGTGCCTTGGAGCAACAATAATTCTGGGGGATCTGCGAGAGGATATTTGTATACAACTATCTATCTATCTATCTATCTATCTATCTATCTATCTATCTATCTATCTATCTATCTATCTATCTATCTATCTATCTATCTATCTATCTAACACAAACACATTGTAAACGCACACAGACATCCATGCCTTCAGTGATGTTCGAACCTACGATCCCAGGGTTCGTGGGAACGAAGACAGTTCATGCCTTAGACCACGCAGCCACTGTGACCGGCCGTATGTTTGTCCCTGTGCTTAACTAATTAAGTAGTGGATGTGTATGAGTAATTCACGTATTCTAGACCTCGGCACTAACCGCAGGTGAGTGGTCAGCCTCATGCCTCGGCCGCTTTACCACCGGGGAAAAAACCCGGCGCATATTCGAAAGGAGGCTGGGTGGACCACAGAGCCAGTCTGGACAACGTGGAGAACAAAAGATTCTTGACCCTACAGGGAATCGAACTCCGAAACCTCGGGCGTCCCCCGTACCCAGTAAACAGTTACTTGCTGAGCTTGCTAAATGCGGTTGTGCTGGACTCAACCCCATTTAACACCCGCTTGTAACGCTGTATGACAACTGCAAAGAGTTTTCAGATTTTGTTTTTTCTGTCTGTACTGAGCTTGCGCCTCCCTAAATAATTTCCCATATTTTTTATGTGTTCCTTCTACATAGTTTATTCTAGTCTTACATGTTCACATTTTTTACATAAAGATTTTACCAATTTTTGGGGGGGNGCTTTCGGAAAATCAGCATTATGTGTTTAGCACCCACTTTCTTAAACGCAGAAAACAAATTCTTTTGTCTATTCATCTTCTGAACGCACTCAGTCTCAAATTCTTGCTTTCTTCCGCGCAATTCCGCTTCATTCTTTTCTATTACACAATTCTACATATTTCGTTTCACGCCAAATGCGTTTTGTTTCCTGGTAAAAGCCATCGAAAATTGTTCCGACCTTATCGAAAAAGATCGTTGTCCCTTTTTGTCGTTGCGTTGATTGTTAACAATTATATCCCATCTGTTTGTGTGAATTTCTTCCTGATTCTGCCAAGTCTGTGCCAGAAATTACGGACGGCACAAAACTTATAAAACCCATGTAGGTAAAAGTTGTCCATACAGACAGCGGGGTTTGAACACGGAATCTCTTTATTGGTATGGTCCAAGATTTTGTGTCCCTAGACGGCGCGGCCACCAGGATCAACAGTTCCTTGCCACGCGACCTACAAGGAGAAGGCGGAACTTAGCCACCATCCGACCACAGGATTTGTTTCTTTTTTCCGAGGTTCGACGGGCTATATAAAGGCCAGGCTGGGACCTTCTGTCACCAGTGCTTAACTACACCAGTCAACAATGTACCAGATCGTAAGTACGAAACAACTTCGCCATTTTACTAGGATCTTAATGAATATAATACGTTCTCTAGTTCTTATGACACTGCATCAAATGCAATAACTAACTCCATGGAGCCTGTCCTTCCTTTAGAACCCACCAATTGTGCAGCTACTCAAGAAATTTCAAAATTTTGTGGAAGCCGAAGGCTCATTACCGTGATCATAAGGGTCTTCCACTGGTCCTTTACTTGAGCCAGATAAATCCAGTCCATACCACCCTATTCTATTTCTCTAAAACCCATTTTAATATTATCCACTCACCTATGTCTTCGCCTTCTTAGCGGTCTCCTTCCTTCCGACTTTCCCACCAATATCCTATATGAATTTCTCCTCGCCCCCATTCGTGCTACATGCCCCGTCCTTCTCATCTTCCTTGACTTGATCATTCTAATTATACTTGGAGAAGAGTACAAGTTATGAAGCTCCTCATTATGCAGTTTTCTCCAACCCCCTCATCCCTCTTCGGTCCAAATATTCTCCTCAACACCCTCAGTCTATTTTCCTCCCTTAATGTCAGATGCTTAGTTTCATGCGACGTCCCCACGTACAAAATCCTGCACTTCATCCAAAGTGCAGGATTATTGAGTGGATAATCGGAAGGGGAGGCACAATAGATCACTGTGGTCACGGTGCAAGGGCCAAGAAGGCCCACCCCTTATACATCCATCCATCCATTCATTCATTTATTCATTCATTCAAGTTCACACCCATACATAACCACAGGCAGAATTATAGTTTTGTATATTCCAAATTTTATGTTCATAGACAGCAGACGAAAAGCAAAAGTTCTGGACTAAATGGCAGCAAGCATTACCTAAATTCAGTCTCCTCTTAACTTCCTCCTGAATGAAATTTTTATCTATTTCTTTCATTCCCAAATATCTGAAATGTGCGACATTTTCAAATGCTTTATTAGCTATTCTGTTGACGGGACATCAACAAATACGTACTTGACTTTATTTGTATTTACTTCTAGACCAACCTTTTCACTAAAGTTAGAATTTCTGTGTTTTTCTTTATGGTATCTATTTTATCTCCAAACTGATATGGCCATTAATTTGAGTCCAATCTGGTTTTCCTGGACCTTCCTAATGGCATATTCTAAAGCAAAGTTGAAAAGCAATGACGTTATAGCATCTCCCTCTTTTAGACAATTCTGAATATTAAATCTATCAGAAAAATATTTATCTATGTAGACTTAACTATCGGTTTCATTAAAAACATTTTAATCACCCTAACTAGTTCCATAGGTACCCCAAACTCAATGAGAATATTATACAATACTCCCCTCCTAACTGAATCACAGGCCTTCTTGACGTCTATGAATAGCTGATGTACTGTCTGAACGTACTCCCATTTTTTCTCCAATATCTGACGAATGCAAAAGCTCTGATCTGTAGTTGATCTGTTATGATGAAACCCACACTAGTGATCCCCAATAATTCCATCTATACAGGGTGTTTCACGACTTTAGGGCATAATTGCAGGAGGTGATTTCCTAGGTCTTTGTGATCAAAATGTGTGATGTTTATATGAACTTTTTTGATCACAAAGACCTAGGAAATCACGTCCTGCAGTTATACCCTAAAATCGTGAAACAACCTGTATATGGACTTAACCTTGAGACAAGAATATTGGATAAAACTTTGTATGAAGTTGATAGTAGTGATATCCCAAGATAATTATGGGGTTAAACATTGAGATTATGAGGAAGTTTCGCGTGCTGCTATTACATCCAGCTCATAGTGACGTAATGTGTTTCAGGTTCTCCTCGTCCTGGCTCTGATCGCAGTGGCCGCGGCCCAGTATCCGTACTACGCCGGATACTATGGCAACGGATACTACGGCACATATGCCAGTCCGTATGCCTACTCCGGTCTTGGCTACGGCTTCTACGGCCGTTAAGCGGTAAATAAATCTACGGAACAAAGTCCGAGACTGACAGCAATAGCATATACCTCATAGAAATAATCATTCACTTAAAGACAATTCAAATTGCTCGTTAGGCAGAGATTATTATTTCTAAAGTCGGGTTAGGGAAAGAATGAATACAAATTCTCCTTCCACCTGGATCTGTAGTTTCTAACAATTGCCTAGCAGCGCTGCGTGCCTGCCGCTACTCCCACAAGTTACCGCTTGCATTGTGGAGATCGTTAATTCTGTTTTTACGTTCTTGGTTTCCTGTCGGCGACGACGGGGAAATGTACGCTGTGTGGGCGGGGCCGAGAGCGGGCGCGTTCACCGTCTGTGTTCATCTCGTCCGGTAATCGTAATAAACAGATATCTTCCAGAAAACTTTTAATCACAAAACACAAAAATAACATATAATATTGATATAAAGAACATACGCGGTAGCGTAGTTGGTTGGCACAATATGCTACAAGCCGGTACGTTAAGGATTCAATTCCAGATGAGATCATTGGATCCTTTTTCAATTGACCTAATCCTTCCATCCTCATTATGGTCCTGGAGTCGACTCAGTCTCAAAGAGAAATGAGTAACAGGAATGTTCCTGGGGGGTAAATGTCGGCCAGTGCGTGAGGCTGACAACCTTACTGACATCTGTGAGCCTACACTCTGGAAAATATGGCAGCCTCGACGGCTTTTTACAGGGATAACTTTACCTTTATCGCACAAGACAAGTGCACAGACTCTGGGAAAAAATGGACAGTTTTATATGTTAAACGAAGTGATGCATGTGAATATCATTCATTGTGGTCCAAAGGGTCAAAAATGACCGTTAAATAGAACCTCGCTTTTGTTTCTGGAAACTATAATCTGAGCAATTTATGACTTTACAGAAATGTAGTCAAGTATTACTGTAAAACTGTATATAGATATTGTTAGTCCATAAGGAAATGTTTAATTCGCAACCAGATCTTTACCATAAACTGATGGTCCCTATACTCTTGTTGCAGTGGCAGGAGCGGACTTCCCTGCGCCAACGAAAATGGATTCATCTTTTACAAATGAAATGTATAATTTGACATCAATAAACCGAGTTGGTTCCCTTCAGAATTAAATAAATTATCTTCTTAATTTTTCCCTCCTTCATTCCCTCCCTTTATTCAATCACAATGGCCTCACGTGTGATTTGAGGGGATAGCGGTCTCAAGATTTCCTCTCAACACCGACGCTTAACTGCAATATTTTGCGTCGTGAAGCCTTGCGTGAGTGGCGCTGGGTCTGGAAGGTCCCAGCCAAGGAGGTACAACTAAAAGTTTCGAAGCTTCAGAATCAATTCTGAACCCGAAAGGACAGAAGGCACAATCCGTCATGTAAGGCAATGATTTGGAGCCTTCGGGATTCGGTCTCCAGAGTCACCAAAGAATGCAGAAAATTTCGTATTTTTCCTTCGATATAACGACGTAAGTTCCGAGGGTCTCAGGGCGGTGGCCATGAAGGCGATCTGCTGGCATATGGCTCTCTGCATTCCCGATGTTTCGAAGGAATTATTATTTCAACTCAAGAATCGAATAGTAACCAACGCAAGCAGAGAGCGGGACTCGTATCCCGGAAGGGAATAGTCTTCAATACAACGATGGTGTACCAAGTTAAACAGCGCCGAATGACAGAATGAACTGGCGAATATGTGGAAGGAACTGAAAGTAAGACACTATTTCAGCATTTGCCTGGGAACACTGAGCATAATTACCAATACTCTGAATCTGCAGTGAGACCCGAATGCATGGATCGCGAATACCAGAGAATGCTAACTGCATTTCAATTTGCACTTAAATCTTGTCTGAGTGAAGGGGGCACGCGATAGCGTAATTGGGTGAGGCATTGTGTTACAAGCCGGAAGGTCGCGGGATCGATTCCCGTTGAGGTCATTGGATTTTAAAATTGACCTAATATTTTCAACCGCACTATGGCCCTGAGGTCGACTCAGCCTCTAACAGAAATGAGTATGAGGAATATTACTGGAGGTAAAGGGCGGCCGGAGCGTAAGGCTGATAACCTTACTGTCAGCTGTGAGTCGATTGTTAGGAAATGATGGAGCTTCGACGTCTCCCAACTCTATGGGCTTCCACGGCCTGTTACAGGGATAGCTTTACCTTCTTAATCTAAGTGAAAATCATTTCTTGTGTATGGTTGGGAGTCGGGATTCAAGGGAGGGTGTTTATGGGTTCCGCACCCCTACTACCCAGTGCATGTGGAATGACACGAAATATGTGAATTTAGTGTAACATTTAACCATGGAAGCAGATTTGATGAAATAAACGAACGGGTATAGAAAGAGTCGCCGTGAATTTATTTAATGGCAGATTATTATCATCAGGGAAGTAACGCCGTATAATTTGGCAGAAGTTTATATATGTATCGGAGCAACGTGCTGCGTCCGGCAGATTGGAGGCTGTACTTCCTTCGGAAACGTCAATAAATTTCTGTCTGACAACACGGCATCATGAGACTATATCATTTTTCATAGTGACCGCTGTGAGAACCTGAAAACTAACTTATGTCTTGCAGTTTTCAAAATATTCTGTTTTAATGACCAGCACTTTAAATCCGTTGTATTTAAATATTCCCACGACACACTCTTATTCGTGGTTTTGCCTTGATTGTTCAGTCTTCTGCAGCAGCTACTTTCCAACATGGCCGCTTCATGAAACAGATACCCTAACCTCGAGCTGAACTTATGTCTCATTCCTCAGAACTCCTCCGCTAAGCGTCTCTGTTTCCTTCTAATCACAAATGTGACCTTGCACACCTCAGCGAGATCCAGTTCTAGGGCCCACCCAGCTTCCTGTCCGATGGGTACCAGCTGCCCTTCCCCGGGGGGTAAAGCGAGCAGGTGCGTGAAGCTAACCAGTCGGCTCTAAGTAATGCCGAGGTCAAGAATATGTGGATCTATACATCCCTCCCTCGTACATCTTCATGTTGTATTGCTTAATTAGTTAAGCACAGGGACAACTTTATATACACGAATGAATGTAACAGAAAAGTAGAATTTCTGAATTCTGCTCAGAACCTCATCCTCCGACCTGTGCTTGGATTTATCAACAAATCTCTTCCCATCAGGTTTTATGTATTTTGCAGTGCTTGAGTGCGATCTGCATGACTCACCATTCGCATTTTTCTCGATTTTATCTTCGTAACAATATCTGGCGAAGGACAAACATAATGAGGCTCTTTCTAGCCTCCCGCCGCTACTACTCTCTTAGGCCCACTTGCTCCCTGTTATCAGAGACAATTTCTGCTGTTGCAGATCAGAAAGGTAAAATATTCTGAACTCTGACAATATTTGTCCTAATTTAATTTATTCTCACCTTGTCACCATAACAATATCACGTGAAAAATTCTTATAATTCATGAAGCTCCTCAATGCTAGGGTGACAATACTTGTTAAACAAAACCACTAACTCATGGATCTGAGCCCTTCTTGGGAAGCTGCCAATTGTGCAGCTACTCAAGAACTTCCCAGCATTTTATGGAATAGGTAGGTTCATTACAGTGTTCACAAGAGCTCTCCACTGGTCACTATCCTGAGCCAGATCAATCCATCCCATCCTATCTCTCTGAGATCCATTTTAATATTGCCCACACACCTACGCCTTGATTTTCCTAGTGGTCTAAATTAATCATACCTCGTATTTAAAATTAAGAAAAAAAGACGAAAAAACGCTGATGACGTAGCCGTAACGTTTTAGACATATTCGGGAAGTTCTCAGTTCGAATATCGGCTGGAACACCAACTTTCCTGACCGACCTTAAGTGGAATTCCTTGGTTCCCGCATGCAAACGCTGTAATAGCGCTATGGTCAGACAGACCGCAAGAACCTCTTCCTTTCAGACTCATCATTTCTTCCTACGAATGTTCCATGTGAATATGCAGCACTGACCACAGCCTACCTGTCTCTTTCACAGGTTGATTACGCCATGCGGCCATAACTGTTTCTTTCTTCTTTTGCTGTAATTGAATTCCCTTACGAAAGTGTGGGGAACACCGTAGCCTGTTCCGTTGAGACACTACACTACAGGCCGGAACGTCAGGGACTCCATTTCTGATAAAGTCATTGGATTTTTCAATTGACCTGTTCCTTCCAGCCGCACTATGGTCCTGGGTTCGACTCAGGCTTTAACTGAAACGAGTACCAGGAAACTTCTTAGGGATAAAGGACTGCCCGTACGTGAGGCAGACGATATCACCGCCATCTGTGAACTGATTATCTAAAGAAAATGTTGGAACCTCGACGTCTCACAACTCTATGGTCCTCCACGGCCTGTTAACGTTTTACGAAAGTATTGCTATTGCAGCCAAGTGACATAACAACCGAGGACAAGCAAACTCAGTATGTTACGTGAGCCGCAACGATTCTGATTCAATGGTATTTATCACCAGTTAGGCATGAAGGGTTACGGCAACTGAGATTGGCAGAAGCTGGCGAGAAGTGCTGGCTTATCGCAGTTACATCAAAGCACGGACAAGCGGACAGAATGCATTTTGGCAAAACATGGATTAGACTGCTGACAGCAATAAGCTCGCTGCCCCTACGGGAAACATGAAATGTATCATATAGAAATGATGTAGACCATCATGTCACATATAGAGTATAGTATATCTACCATATAGGTGGTACGTCATATACAGAGTAAGCAGTACACGTATGGAGTTGCGCGCGGCCACAAGTTTCGTCCACATCCTCACACCGCAGAGGCAGTCACACCATGTGCAGTCGGCTTTACCGCCCTCTTTGTGAACTGGGACAACAATAGACTCCTTCCACTAATCAGATAATTCTTTCATATCCCAAATAAAATTGATGAGTTTATGGATGCTTGAATAAGTTCTGCCGGAATTTGATCACTACCTGACGATTCATACCGTTTCAATTTTGCAATAGCACTTTCAACCTCAAAAGGGCTAGGATCAGGTACTAACGGGTCAGCTGTATCGATTTCTGTCTGCCTAACATCAGTGACCCTATGTACAATACATTCGAGAAATAGTTCCTCAACCTATTCAAAATGCTGTGGAATCTGCAAGCAGATCACCATTCTCATCCATCACTAAGTTACTGCTAGGCTGGTAACCCCTCTTAAAGTCATTTATTCCTCTATACAGGTCTCTAATGTTCTTGTTCTTACTGTACGTTGCAAAATCATCAATTTTGTCTTTCAGATATTCCTTCTTTTTATTCGTGTAATACCTGTTGGCGTCATTTCTTATATTGTTCAGATTATCCCCATTTATTTAGCTTGTTTCCTTTTGGCCAATCATTTTTAACGTTTTTCGTCGAACCATAGATTATTCTTCTTCAATTCATAAAAACCTAGATTCTCTTTGGCAGAAAATTTGATATTCTCTCTAATAGTTTCTATTAATATTCTAATCGATTAATAAACACCCCATCTTTTAAGATTTCCAAAGCTGCGAATTTTTTTAGATTTCAACACGATACTGCTCTTTACCCTGTACCTCGTTGAATGTTATGAGATTGAACTTCTGCATATGAAATCTGTGATCTGTTTGTTTACTCACTGCCAGTCTCTCCCTAACTTTTGCTGCCACCAGATAGTAGTCAGTATCACAGTTTGCTCCCCTGAAGGATCGGACATTAAGTACACTTGAATGCCGTCTCCTATCTATCAAACTATGACCAATTTGACTGTGAGTCTTTTCATCAGGAGATGGGCAAACGATGTGGGAACGTTGTACTTACACAGATTTTTGGGTGTGGCAAATTATACTTCTCTAATTCCATTATCTTCATTTATTTCATGCAAATTGTCATTCCCAATTGTTTTGAAAATTCCTTTCCTAAGTGCTTTAGCATTAAAATCTCTTAACAATGACAATAATAATAATAATAATAATAAATTGGAACAATGAAAATTGAGCCCAATATGCATGTAATATGCAGGCAATAGTAATATGAAGTAAACAGAGGCCGTGATAAACACGCTGTGGTAAAAGGTAAAGGTAAAACCATCCCTGTAACAGGCCGTGGGGGCCCATAAGATTGTGAGACGTCGCGGTTCCCACATTTTCTAGACAATCGGCTC